ACTAGGATTGGAATGAAGTCGCAGCGTCTCGCCTTTTTTTTTCATTTTTCTTACTTTCTTACTTTCCTTTTTAATTTGTATATGATGATGAGTTTTTCTCTTTGGCTGACTGTACATCTCAAACGACCTCCCGGTATTCTCGACCCAACTAGTAATTGGCCCCTTGTAATCACCTTTGTCACATTTTTTTTTATGTTGACTCGGCGTCTATTATTCCCGTATCCTCCGAATCTCCGCCGCACCCGCCAGTCATTAGAACGTAGTCTGGATGGGGCTATCGGACGTTATCCGTCTCAGTGCCAGATTCTGAAGGCAGACCGAAATTTTCTGTCACTTTTCCTTTTCATTTTTTATTTTCGATATTTTTTGGATGTATTTTTTCGAGACCTTGGGACAACTCCTCAGGCACTCTCGGCTCCGGGAGTTTTCATCGCATCCTCGGCACCTCCTGAAGCTGACTAGTCCTAATTGGGGGCCGCGGCTTGCACTGATGAGGCTTAGTGGCATCGACAGGAGCAGCTCGATTGGGTTAGTCGTGACGACAACGATACGGGCCAACTCCCGTAATTACGGAAACGCTAGGCCCCGTAATCGTATCCGCCGACGTCCGTCGCCCCGTCGCTCTTCACCTTTGGCGCTGTGCTCCATCACCTGCAAAATCCTCACGTATCGTCTCATTTAGTACTAAATACTGACTTCCCGGAGTCTTCCTCTTTTTCTTTTCCTCCTCTTACTTCCCACTTCTCCTCCACCCTCCTCCGACCTGGTCGACCTCCCTCCCTAATTCTACCACCACGAACTCTCCGGCTCCGTGGCCATCTGTCCGCCTTGCGACTCAATCTCGTTCCTGGTTTTCTCAGTCTTCCGGCCCTTACGGTCCGCCTTGCGTCAGAGGAACCCTTGCAACGTGACCTCCACTCGAAACCTCCTCGTTTGGCCGCTGGAGACCGGAGCCCGCGCTCCCAACTATAACTAATCCACCTTGAATTTCTCCGCCTGTCGGTGATCAAAACGTTCTGCTCGCGGTGTCTCGTTCAACGTCACATTGACGCCTAGAAGCCCCCTTTCCGTCAGCTCCGCCGAGACTCTTCTGTCCTTCGATCCTCTTCTTCTCGACTCTCGCGGCATTCTTGCACCCTTTTCCAACCTTTTCGCCGTGAAATTGTGCCTTTGAGAAGGAATTTCTTGAGTCTTGTGAAAGACTTGCCGCAGAGATGAATCCCACCCTTCCGTCATGGAAGGATCGGACGCAAAATCAGTTCGGGAAGCTTCAAATCCAAGTACCATGGCGTTCAATCCAGCTCCTGGTGCCGCACCGTATGCGACGGAAGATTCGGTCGAAGCTGAGGAGTAGGATATCTCCCACCTCGTCGATATCCTCCTTACAAACCTCGTTCTCGCCTGTGGACACGCTTCGGTCGCTGCAAAGCCATCGGTGGACGACATACGACTTTCAATACCTGCTATTGTTGATCGTCGCGATCTTCTCATTGACAGTCATTGAGTCGCCCGGGCCTTTGGGGAAGACTGCCATGTTTACTGTGTACATTGTCGCTCTTCTGCTTCCTATCACTCGTCAGTTCTTTCTGCCGTTTCTGCCGATTGCGGGATGGCTTCTGTTTTTCTACGCTTGCCAGTAAGTGAACTCACCGTGCCCTCTGCCATGGCCTGGTCAAGAAGGCAATTGCTAATCGAGTTGACTCTAGGTTCATTCCGAGCGATTGGCGTCCGGCTATTTGGGTCCGGGTGCTCCCAGCATTGGAGAATATCCTCTATGGCGCCAACATCAGCAACATCCTGTCTGCTCATCAGAATGTTGTGCTCGACGTGCTAGCATGGATTCCATATGGTCTCTGCCATTACGGAGCCCCCTTTGTCGTTTCTCTGATCATGTTCATCTTTGGGCCTCCCGGCATTGTGCCCATCTTTGCGCGGACTTTCGGCTATATCAGCATGATGGCAGTCACCATTCAGCTGTTCTTCCCCTGCTCGCCCCCGTGGTACGAGAACCTGTACGGTCTGGCACCAGCCGACTACTCGATGCAAGGTAACCCCGCGGGTCTCGCTCGCATTGACAAACTCCTGGGCGTCGACCTCTACACCTCGGGCTTCAAACAATCCCCGGTCGTTTTCGGTGCGTTCCCGTCGTTGCACGCCGCCGATTCCACTCTGGCAGCCCTTTTCATGAGCCTGGTTTTCCCCCGCCTGAAGCCGTTGTTCGTGACGTATACCCTGTGGATGTGGTGGGCAACCATGTATCTGTCCCACCACTACGCGGTTGATCTGGTTTGTGGTGGACTTTTGGCCACGGTCGCGTTCTACTTCGCGAAGACTCGGTTCATGCCCCGCGTTCAAACCGACAAGATGTTCCGATGGGACTACGACTACGTGGAATACGGCGATTCCGCTCGGGAATATGGCTACGATCTGGCCGACTACGATGGCGACTTCAACCTGGACAGTGATGAGTGGACGGTTGGCTCGTCTTCGTCCGTCTCCTCCGGCTCTTTAAGTCCCATCGATGACCATTACACCTGGGAGGGCGAGGCTCTTGCTTCCCCTGCCTCCGATATCGAGTCCGGAAGGCATATGATCAGCCCATGATTCGGCTCCATCAACTTGCATACACCGCACTCGCGTTTTTCATTTACTGACGAACGGCGTTTTTACCATTTTACGACATGCTGGATTCTTATTGCATTGAGCAGATTTCGACACATATATTTTTAATACGCCTGTTTTCCTCGGCACATCCGGCTTAATGGTACCCCGGATTGCGCCGTTTTCCACGCGCATCTTCAACTGTACATGCATACGTCGTTGCGAAATCAGTTGGGCTGTATGATGTGACCCTACGGCCCCGAGTCTCCTTGAAGCTCCGTCAATAATCTTAATTCCAAAGGTCTAGCGGACTTGGCGCGATTTTCGCTGCTCAGGAGCTTGAGCTTTGCTGGTGTCCTTGGAGTCATTCGCTTGTACACTGCTACCTGGATAATTCCAGGTCGGACGATTTCGTCCCCTTCCAACTACAGTCTTTCGCTATTCTTCAGCTGGTCGAGCGTTTTGCTTCGCTTTTCTTCTTGTGCTCGGCCAGGTACATATACTTTTTTAACATTCTTGTCGATCGCTCACACCATTGGCGCCTGTGATTCGGAACCATGATGGAAAGAGAAAAGTACTGGGGCGCCTTTTTGCATGCACTTCACTCGTTGTGCCTAGAAGGGGTTGATGCTTGTTTAATGACCTTTGCATTGGTATATAGAGCGGGGCCAGGACTACCTGATTCCCCCCCTCGCGTGGTGGTTTGTCTTGGGAGCATTCTTCTATACAGAGGACATTGGTGATGCTGAGCGGCCGTTCTGATCCGTTGCATCTACCAAGTAATGGAGATCTTGGGGGGGCACTGATACTTCAAAGCGGCTGGGCGACAGATGCAGACGGAGTCATCTTGTCGAAGGTTGCACACCCTTTGCTATTGAAAACACTTTTACGACTTGACGTTTCTCTGCTGGACACAAGCATCCATAGTGGAATGCGTGCCACAAGAGTTCGTTGGATGCTTTTTATTCCATGGCATTATTATTAATTATAATCCCATCGGTAGCGTTATGATTTATGAAGAACTTTGTACATTACTTGTTTGATTCTTGTATACATCTTGGCTTGGACAATTTCAATGACCTGAAATATCTTAAATGGTTCCTTGGTCCGGTGTAGATTGCACCGATTTGCCACTGTAGACACCCAACTGCTCTCCTAAATCGGTTAGTGTAGCTGTTATACTAGGCCGAGATATCTTCATGGCCGAAGACCTTCTTCACCAGATACAGCGCTGAAGAATGGTCTAAAAATTAACCTGTATCGATTAACTGCCGTCCCTCAGTATACGTCAAGCGGAAAACATGGGTTTCCAAGGACTTGGCCGAGATGCCGCCGTAGTATCTGTTCATATTTCCATCCTTTATCGCATTGAGAAAACTTGTGACATGCGAAGTTGCGGGACGAAACCAGGGACAGAGTCGCCGGCAGTTTTGGGAGTAGATGCGTTGACTGAAAACTTCTCGACATCTACTCCAAAGACAGCAGTTTCGTCATTAGCCTGCTCAGAACAAGGCATCCGGAAAGCTCTGGCTTCTGACACAGAACTATATACTCTGTACCCTCAGAGGACAGAGATTTGATCCCGTTAACTCTGTCCATCTATCTATAGACTCGGAAATGACATCCGCAGCATAATAATGGGCTTGGTGCTGTAAAGATGACGTGGAGAGTTCAGCGAGATCAATATCGAAGCTAGCTGCGATGAGAGTGAGACGTTTCTTTCCTGTATCAAGATGCCCTCGTGCGAGAAGGATAAGATACCGTTCGGGAGTAAACCTGATTGAATTGATACAGGCAATCTATCTGGCTTTCTAGCCCATCGATACTCGACTAATAATGTAATCGTCGTCTCCTGAAAAAGTTCTTGAGAGCTTGCCGTCTGGCTCCTCTGACAGTCCCTGAATCTAAATTGATTGAGAGGACTGAGTGTGCATTGGTATCGCAGGAGGATTCTGTTGTGTTTGTTTTGCTGATGAGGAGTTCACTTCTGCTTCCCAGTTCTTCAGGGCGTTGTAGGAAGACACAGAGTCTGGATAGTCCGAGCCTAAGACTTCGTTGTGGAGCTCTACACATTGATTGATCAGAGCCCAGGCGGGCTGGATATTTCCAAGGGATTTCCATGTATATGCAAGGTAGTGCATACTCCACAGAGTGTCAGGATGCTCTGGCCCTAGCACCTGTTTCCTGGTCTTCAGAATCTGTGAAAACAGCTCTTCTGTTTACTATTGTCCCTGAAAGTATGTTGATGCAAGGATGTGCATGGCAGTCAGAGTATTAGGATGCTCTGATCCTAGGATCTGTTTCTAGATCTCCACAAGTTGTACCACCAGCTCTTCTGCCTCCTTCCATTGTCCTTGGTTTTGGTATCTTGATGCAGGTTGTGTATACTGGCCAGGGTATCAGGATACTCTGGCCGTAGCTCTTGTTTCCGGATATTTATATTCTTTGAAAACAGCTTTTTTGCTTCCTTCCATTGCCCTCGTTTCCAGGATGATAATGGAATGTTGGCCATACTGGTCAAAGTGTCAGGATGCTCTGGCCCTAGCTCCTGTTTCTGAGTTTCCATCATCTGCGACAACAGCTTTTCCGCTTCGTTGTATCTCCCATCACTACTTAAGCAGGACCCCACGCTTCGTATTAAGTCAATATACATATCTTGTTGTTTTTTGAATCGATTATCACTCAGTAGGAAGAGGGCGTGGGGCAGGTATTCTCGGCAAAAGCTGTCGGTTGGTATGGTCATTACCAGGGAAGGCCTCATTCAATTGGTCTGCTGCTTTTGTTATGTAGAATACATATTGTTTCTCGTTTTTCATCCAGGCTCGAGTTGCCAGATGTACCAAACGATGTAATGTTATAGAGCCATTCCCGGGTTGGATAGCAATGAAAGAGTAGGCCTTTAGAAGCCCAAGAGCTTCAGTCATTTTCTTTTTTGACGCCGGCCGTGGAAGGAAGGACTCCGGGATACTATTGCGCGGATCAAGACAAGCCATAAGCGACAGATATTCAAAAGCAAGTCCGTCAAGCTTCTGAATTTGATAGAATGAGGTTAGCCATGTCTTGATCACTGGGTTCTGGATTTCCTTATAGCGTCCATCATCACCAAAATCCTCACTTAGAAGCTCTACAACATCTGCCTCCTGTTCTTGGAGAAGTAGCAGGTAATCAGACAATTTTATACCATTTTCGTTGATATATGCTGCAGCTTGGGAAACAGCTAATGGAAGGAATGTAAGCTGCTGAAGAAGGGCGCTCACTGCATAACTGTCGTCGCGGAGCCGGTTTTTTTGCATCAGTAACTTTCCCAGAAACTCCACTCCAGTTTCTTTGTTGAATTCGGGAACATGTATCTCATTAGACGATGACATTCTCACGGCTACCTTCCGGTTGCGAGTGGTGAAAATAGTATGACCGTTGTTATTACAAGGAAGGAAGTCCTTTAACGCGGAGGATGTCTTGCTGCCTTTCATCCACATGTCCATGTCATCCGCATTATCGAAGATCAGAAGCCATTTCCCGTCCCTTTGGCTAAAATGAGCTTTGAGATGCTCTTTTACCTCTGCCGGATTCACACCTTGGATCCCGATCGTTTGTGCAATGGCCATACAGGCCTGCTCAACAGCCCCATAGCTGGTACAAGGGATCCAAAAGATTGAACATTCATCCTCTCTGTCTTGCATACGGTAAGCTAGTTCGAGAGCCACCTGGGTCTTACCAACCCCTCCCAATCCAGTAATGGCAATTTTCTTTGGCCCGCCGGGTGTTGAGATTAATTCTTCTAACCTGTCAATTTCGTCCTGCCGGCCGACGAGCCGTTGATTTCTCGCAAACGGGACCATGAAATGAACTGTCTTGCGTGTGTCTATGAAATAGACAATAAAAAGTTAGCGTAAGCTAAACTTGCTGATACTAGATTGCTGGCTTGCTTACCTTCTTTTTTCCGAGGCCAGTACTCTAAGAAAGCTTTTGCTGCGGAGGCTCCAGTCGCTGCAGCATAATCTTGCCATAATTTATTCTTATGGCTGTCCGCATAGTCACACACCCCTTTAATAATGATACACGAGATATTGTCCCACACTCCTGCACCTTCCATTTCAAAGCCTATAATATTCTCCTCTCGAACAAGGGCATCACGGTGCTGTCCGGATTTCATCACTGTGTCGGCTGAAGCGACTGTTCTAATATATGCAGAGGCTTTCGCAGCTTCCACAAATCCTCGGCACCGTATTACTTGGCCCTTGCCACAACCAAGATCATCGCAGGTTTCCTCCAGTGCGTTGTCACAGATCTCCTCGGGTACGTCACTCTCAGAACAGGCGCATTGGATATCAGACGCAGGCGCATGATGTTTGTGAAGATAAGAAGCCTGGAAAAGAATATCGTCGATTTGTGGATGGCGCCACCTAGTTCCTTTTTGCTGAAGTGTCTCAAGATATCCTTGCATCTGGTTTCGGAGTTCACTGAGGGTATTATCAGCCTTCAGGCTATTCAGAAGAGTCCGGATTTCTCGATTCGGTCTGCCGAGCGTGTCCTTGACTCCACCACCAGGGTATTGCCAGCCAATGTCATATGCGATCACAGAATCACTGATGATAGCATCACCTAAAAATATTTCTTGATGGTTGGATTGCGATGGGGCACCTCCACAAATACCAACAACTAAAGCAAGCTCAATGCCCGTGTAGCTAATTTGTAAGCTTGAGGCTGCACTTGCTGCACTTACTTTTCCCATTCCTGACAAGTAGCACAAGACCACATCGTGATTGCCAATCCTTCCATTGAGGTACGCATTCGCGTCACCTTGTTGTTTGCCATAGTATCTCCCCAGCCGATCGTAGGTTTCATCGAAAAGGGCTTCGACAGCGTCAGCCTCAAGAGAAAGAGCGCAGACAATCGCGACGGTAAAATCTTGACGACTCTTGGGACGCATTTCAGGTTGGAATAATTGATATATCAGAGACCATGGCTGAAACGAGGATATCGACCTGGGAAGCCAGAAGGTGGGCGATGGTGAGGTCTCGGAAGACATAGCGCTAACTCTGGCCACAGCCTTGCAACTGCACTAATCACAGGGCTGCAGTAAGCGCCCTTAGGAGGGTTGTACATCATAGGCCTTTCGTAAAGACTGGGATGTAGTAATACGTAGTTGACCAGATAGACAAGGTTTCAGCATCGCTTGATAAATGTTGTTCAGTCGGCCCAGCTTTGAGCTAAGGATCATTGTACCTAGGTGAGGATGAGTGAATCATCTCAGTTGGGCGACCGAAGCACCTCCTGTTGGAGCGGTAACGTCAAGATCCAGCAGGAAGGAGGCGACTGCAGTTTTTCCAAGTTGGCATGTTAGAATACCTCCATTATCTATACAAAGCCCCCTTCTCTAAACCCACCAATAAACATAGAGAACATAAACATCATCCGTTCACCAACCATACATAATACATAACAGGATTATCTCTTGTATCTCTTGTATAATAGATATATGCTGAAAAGAATTCATAAGAAGCGTGGGGAAAACATAGGGGGTATTAAATCTATTTATGTATTACTCTTCGAAGATCTGCACCCGGTCTGCATACTCTTTAATTCTCGAGACGAAGGTTTCTTCGATTTCGTCGCCGTGGCCGCCTGCGACGCGGAGGATGAGTTCGTTGAGGGAGGCTCGGCCGAGGATGTCAACGTGATCGCCTTTTGGATTGTTAGTTAGGGCTTACAAAACCTAGGAATGGAGATATATGTACCTGTGTTTGGACCACCGCGTGGTGAGAACCTGTCTGGTTCGTGAGGCATTTCAAAGACCTTGATTTTGACTCCGGCTGGGTTGTACCGTTTGATATTCCATCCCTTGGCGCACATGTAGCCTGTGCTGAGGAGATTGACGGTGCCGTCGCCTTCGCCCATGACAACGCCGTGGTCGACTCCATCATTGTTAGTGATAGTCGTGTCGATGCTGGCGTTGAGGTTGACCAGGGGATCGCGCTCCTCCTGGTAGTAGTAGCTGCGTTCGGTTGGTTTGCCGACGCCGTAGAAGCAGTAGATCTTCATGTCTGGAGCCAATGGCAAGCGGGCTTCGAGGGGGTTGAGCCAAGTACGAGGGTCGTTTTCGTTTTCTTCGACTTCCGTGGTGGTGTGCGCGACGCCATGCGAGTAGCTGTTCTGGACTTGATTGCGGTACCATTCATCGCTTGTGTTCATGAGATATGCCAAACTTTCGGAGACTGTGAGGTTCTTGGCTGTCAGGGACGAGTTACTCTGCTGGAACTTCAGCAGATTTCCGTAGCTCGTGTGCTGGCCGGGCTGGTCGTCCGGAGCCCATGTTGCATTGCCCCATACAGCTTCTCCGCCCTTGGGAAGCATGCTCGAGATGCCGGGCATGGCCCTGAAGATCTCAGCTCGTTCCTCCTTGGACAGGAATTTCTCCAATCCGTACACGGCGAAGGCATTCAGTTGAGCGGTATCCCTCATTTCGCCCGAGAGGACGGCCGTCAGACCCTTGACGGCGCCCAGCATGCACCCACTGATGTTGATCCAAGAGGCAATGTGTCTGTTAACCCAGTCACTGCCTCCATTACCATGTTCCGGATGTTCAACCCACTTAAAGAAATAGAAGAGCACCTGAGAGCCCATACTGTGCGAAGCTAGAGCCACCTTTTCTCCTTTCACGAGAACGGCAGTCTCGATGTAGGACTTCAGCCGACTGAAGTACTGGTCACGGATCTCCAGGTTCAGATAGGACAGTCTCCAATCATAAGCGGCAGTAAAAGCATTCGTCGGATCATACCCGATCGTCGCCAGATTTTCGAGAATCTTATTCCAGATCCAGTAGCCGGTGATGAAGAAATCAGTCGCATCAAACCCCTGCGCCGCTCGGAGCTTGATCCCGGGCGGATCCAATCCGGTATCCTTATCCAGCATGATATGGTTTTTCCACTCTGTCTTATCCAGGACCAAAGCGCGCATCATACTCCAACTGCCCCAGAGTCTCCTACGGAAGTACTGGCGAGAGGACACCTCAGTGCCCCAACTCTCGAGCCCAGTGGAGATAACGCCGGGGATCATGACAATGGGATGCTTGGCTTGAATACCTTGTGATTGAAGTTGTAGACCGACGGCGAATGAATCATAGTTGACAGCATCACGCTCATGTTGCTAATCAGATTAGATCACCACCTGCATGAAGGAAAGAAGGGTTGACAGTACCGAGAACTCCCTCACATCTTTCACAATGCCCTGTGGTATGACATCCATCAACGCATCCAAGTTCAGGTCCATCAGCGAATCGAGACTGATCACATCTTGCTGGTTGGCGAAAAAAGCGGCGACGAGAATTCCGAAGATACCGCCGAGCACGAAGATGAGACCATTGCGACGCTTACTCCGCGGCTTCGTCACGAATGACTCTTTTTTCGGTTTTTCTGGTGACGTCGCAGCCTGCGTAGCGGTGACTACTTTGGTTTCATCGCGAGACGAGTCCGTAGGAGGGGATTGGACATTGTCGTCCTTAGCCAGGCGACGGCGGAGCATGTGGGCGATCGCCAGAAACACTGGGTGGAATTGACAGCCGCGGATCAAAGGAAAGAGTCAGTATATATCAAACAAGAAAAATACTCCACAGGATAGACAGCCAGGAAAATGAAGTCAACAATAAAAGAAAAGGAGGGAGAAGAAGGGAAAAAAAGGCGCACTAGGTGAAGAAGTTGCGACCCGGAAATCACATGCTTTCTGAAGTTGCAACCAAAATGGGACGTCATGAGAATTAGTCCCCAAAATTACGAAATCCGCTTTTCTCCCTTTGTACCTGAACTCTTTTACTTCCTCAGCACCCCCATCAATTCCCCACATTCAGTCAGAACTATTACGACACCCTTCCGCACCTGTCACTCTTTTCCGAGAACAAGATAGAAAGATTGGATTCTCTCAATGAGTCCGAAAACGCGGCCGGAATGAGCCATGACGCTACTCCCACCGCAGTCTCCGCTGCACCCCCAGACCTCCGCTACATCCGCTATGACGGCACACGCGAGGACGAATATGTCGCTGCCATGCGGCAACTGATCTCCAAGGACCTCTCCGAGCCGTACAGTATCTACGTCTACCGGTATTTCCTCTACCAATGGGGCGATCTTTGCTTCATGGCCATGGACGACACACTGCCAGACCCGATGGTCGGGGTCGTAGTCTCGAAGCTGGAACCACACCGCGGCGGCCCATTGCGGGGCTATATTGCTATGTTGGCAGTGCGCGAGGAGCATCGAGGTCGCGGGATTGCAACGAAATTGGTCAGAATGGCGATCGATGCAATGATTGCGCGTGATGCGGATGAGGTTTGTTGCCCGGGTCCCACAGGGTTGCACATGTGCTCCATTTAAAAGACACTATACTAATAGGAGGTGCTTGCAGATCGCGCTCGAGACCGAAATCACAAATACGGCGGCTATTAAGTTGTATGAACGACTGGGGTTCCTGCGCAGTAAAAGATTGCACCGGTATTATTTGAACGGCAACTCGGCCTATCGCTTGGTGCTATATCTCAAGGAAGGTGTGGGGTCTATGCGGACGGCGTTCGATCCGTACGGGCCCCCTGATATGTCTGGTCCAATTGCCCCTCCGCCGCCAGCTTTGCTTCATGGAAATGGCAATCAATGATGTATGAGACGGAATGGCAGTTTGCTTGTGAATAACCTATAGACTACGCAATTACGACAATAGAGAATATGAGTGATGAGTACATATTAACGATCTATTGCAATGAACAGTAGGGCTGGGGAGCCGAAGTCTATTTCTATAGTATCTATACATGGCATTATATAGAAAAGGGGGGGGGGTGGTTAGTATACAGAGGTATAATGTACAGAAAAAAGTCAGACGTAAAAGCGCTGAATTCATACATGATATGTGAATAGCTGTTGGACATCTGTAGCCCATACAACCAATATTATATGCAGTAAGTGGATAGTGAGTCACTGATCAACAAATACAGTGCACAGCTCCACCCCAGTCGAGGCGGTTCAACCACGTTCACTGCAGATAGTCCGACTTTCTTTTCACCGAGACTTTAATAGCATTTTGCATCAACCACTGTGTGGGTCGAGGGACCGATTTCCACTCCTGATCCAGTACGGCTGCAGCCTCCAACATGATGTTCAGTGACTTTGAAGGCCGGTACATTGGACCGACTTCCGTATCACGTAATATCAGTTTTGAAGCCAGAATTTGTTGCTTCTCTCGCTCTCCACCAGTAGGCTTGAATCCAGTTGCAAGAGAAGCGACTGGGTTCCGACTGAACTCAGATGGCACAAGCTCCGAAAATGACTCATCTAAAGGATAATTCGGAAGATGAAGATCAACCCCCACGATGACTTTGCCTGCACTGGTGAGCCAAAGTTGATTGTATTGACCTCCGGTCTTTCGAAATGATGTATTGCGGAGCAACGATGTAAGCACAGACTGTCGCATGTTGTATGTCACGCCTCGGTACATGCATGCGTATCTCCATAGCACACGGCAGATGTTGTAGTGTCGTCCTTTGAAGGCTACCAAGAATAATTTCTCCCAGGCATCTTTTGTGAGCACACGCTCAGGACGGTCAATGAATTGAAACAAGACCCGGAGGAGGGAGAAGATATCCTTGCGAAAGAGTAAGACAATTTGGTTGACGGTAGAACCCTTGACAGCAAAGCCTTGCTGCTTGCATATTTGGAGTATCCGTTCCATGGCTGAAAAGTCCTTCTGCCTGGCAGCAACGTTCAACATTTGATTGATCAGCGATGGAGGGAACCAATTGGCACCCTGTGTGTCAATAAGCATATTGAAAAAGGAGTCAACACTTTTCCCACTTTTGAGATGTGCATGAAAAGTATTTTGTATCGTCACCTGCAACGCCGTCCGCATGGCGCTAGACTCGTTGAGATAGCCTTTCTGCATCATACGCGAGACAAGGTTCGCCTTTGCTTTCGGTGAGACAAGGCAGTCAAGGAAAGTAAGCCAGGTATATGGGTTCGGCCGGATATTCAACCGCGGCATTGTTAGCAGAAACTGGCGAAACAGCCGCATATCCTGCTTCTGAGCCGCAAACTTCAACAAGATATTAAAGGAGTCGACAGTTACGACATGCTCGGCTCTCAGAAAGATCATGCGCGCGTACTTCACAAACTCATGGTCAAGGAGGAAAGATAGTGCGGTATTCAGTGCAGCAGTCGACAAAAAGCCATGGTACCGTTCGTTTTGAAACAACGCAAGGAGGGATTTGGCCACTTGCTTTTGATGAGAGCTCCCTGGAGCAGCCTTG